AAAAACACTGCAGTTTTTTTATACTTCCTGCTCCTTTTTTTAAAAAAAAATACTGCTGTTTTTCTTTTGCTTCCGTCTTTCCTTATTTGGGCTTTACTTGCATTCCCGAGAGCAAAAACTGGAGTTTTACTGAAGGGATTCGCAAAAGAATTGCAGTACAGGTAGTCCTTGATTTACAGCGGTCTTGTTGAGTGACCGTTCGAAGATACATCGGCATTGAAAAAAGCGACATAGGACCGTTTTGTTACACGCGTGACGGTTGCGCGCTCGATCAACATTCAGACCAGCGGTGAAATCCACTTGCCTTCGCTACCGGTTCGGTAACGGGAGTGCACGGGAGCACGTTTGTGCTATGCACGCATACATGTACCTCTTCTGCACCTGCGCAGAACCTTCTACACATGTGCAGATGGTAAAAGACCGGGACGTAATGACGTCCTGGCGGGTGGGCGGAGCCTCCTACCGCCGGCGCTACCAGTTCAGCGAGCCAGATAGAACCAGGAGGGATTTCACCGCTGATTCAGACACTTGGAAATCTGACTCGTATTTATGACGGTCGCCGTGCCCCGGGGAGGGTGGTCACGTGATCCCCTTTCGCGAACTTCTGACAAGCAAAGTCCACGGGGAAGCCGAATTCCCTCAACTGTGTGAGCAACTTAACTGCTTCAGGAATTCACTTAACCACTGTGGCGCAAAAGGTCGTAAAACAGGACCAACCTCATTTAAGAACTATCTCGCTTACCAATGGAAATTTGGGGCTCCATCATTTTATTTATTTTATTTTATTTTTTGATTTATATGCCGCCCTCCTCCGGAGACTCAGGGCGGCTTACAATGCGTTAAGCAATAGCCTTTTTTTTTTTTTTTTTAATTTGATTTATATGCCGCCCTTCTCCGGAGACTCAGGGCGGCTTACAGTGCGTTAAGCAATAGCCTTCATACTTTTGTATATTTATACAAAGTCAGCTTATTGCCCCCACAAACCGGGTCCTCATTTAACCTACCTTAGAAAGGATGGAAGGCTGAGTCAACCTTGAGCCTGGGGAGATTCGAACCTGCAGTAATTGCAGACACCTGGTGTTAATAACAGGGTGCTTTAAACCACTGTAGTACCAAGGCTCTTGCCTTCATTCTTTTGTATATTTTATACAAAGTCAGCTTATTGCCCCCACAATCCGGGTCCTCAATTTACCTACCTTAGAAAGGATGGAAGGCTGAGTCAACCTTGAGCCTTGGCAAGATTCGAACCTGCAGTAATTGCAGGCAGTTGAATGTTAATAACAGGCTATTAGTCTGCTGCGCCACCAGGCTCCTCTAAATGGAGGATTGCCTATAACGGGTGTCAGCAACCTGCAGCTCCGGAGCTGCATGCGGTTCTTTGGGCCCTCTGCTGTGGCTCCATGTCAAATGATTCCACCACTGGCTGGCCCCGCCCTTAGCCCTCCCCTCCCAGTCACTCCTCACCTGGCCTGAGAAGGTAAGGGCGACGATGCGGGATGGAGAAGCGGCCGGGGCAGAAACAGAGAGATACAGATACAGAGGGAGGGCGGAAGAGGGAGAGAGAGGGGGGAGAGAGAGAGCGAGAGAGAGATGTCAAAAAGATTTTGTGGTTCCCGGGTTTTTTTTTTTTTTTGAGGAACAGGTGTCCTGTCCTAATGACCGGGTGGGTAGGCATGGCTGGGGGGGGGGGGGAATCATGTGACTGGTGGAAGTGAGTGACATCGAGTTGGCCACGCCCACTCAGGTTTTGTGGCTCCCGGTGGTTTTTTTTTTTGTGTGGGAAACGGGTCCAAATGGCTCTTTTGAGTATTTAAGGTTGCCGACCCCCGGACTATAATAATGGCTAGTTAAACTCGCCTTGGTAGTACAGTGGTCTAAGGCACCCCGTTATTAAGCTGGTTATTAAGACCAGCTGCCTGCAATTACTGCAGGTTCGAATCTCGCCAAGGCTCAAGGTTGACTCAGCCTTCCATCCTTTCTAAGGTAGGTGAAATGAGGACCCAGTTTGTGGGGGCAATAAGCTGACTTTGTATAAATATACAAAAGGATGAAGGCTATTGCTTAACGCATTGTAAGCCGCCCTGAGTCTCCGGAGAAAGGCGGCATATAAATCAAATTAAAAAAAAAAAAAACTCTCATTGATCGGTGTGTCAAGTTTCAAGCTACCGTTTTGGGACCCAGGAGCATATCAAAGAGATCCTCCAATTCTGCATTGTTTAAAATACGTGTCTGATGTTTATACTCGGGTTTACGTGTCACACACTCAATTGTGTCTGTTTTTCTTCCTTTTTTGCCCCCCCAGGTGTGTTATCCGGTTTCCCAGCACAGTCATCAAAATCCAATTCACGTCCCTCTACCATAGAGAGGAGGCGAGAGAGGACACGGCATCTCCTCCACTCCGGCCACTCTACCCACAGATCTCGCCGCTTAAGATCCACATTCCGGAGCCGGATCTACAGAATATGGTCAGCCCCCTCCCTTCTCCCACTGGCACCATCAGGTAAGCAGCGGGGGTCTCCAGCACAGGTGTGCCCAGCTCCGTATCAACAAACACCACTTCGCTTTTCCCAAAAATTCCCATTTCTCTCCTTATACAGGTAGTCATACATTACATTGATTGATTGATTGATTAGCCCTTGATTAGCCATATCAAAGTGCAGAGTACCAGAAGCAAATTATTACTAAAATTTGATAAAAGCAATTTAAAATGGAATTGAAATAAAATACAATTTAGAATGAAATTGGAGTAAAATACCATTTAAAATTAAATTGGAATAAAATACCATTTAAAATTAAATTGGAATAGCAATAGCCCTTAGACTTATATACCGCTTCACAGTGCTTTACAGCCCTCTCTAAGCGGTTTACAGAGTCAGCCTCTTGCTCCCAACAATTTTGGGTCCTCATTTTATCCATCTCGGAAGGATGGAAGGCTGAGTCAACCTTGAGGCGATCAGGATCGAACTTCTGGCAGTGAACAGAGATAGCCTGCAACATTGCATTGTAACAACTGCGCCATTATGGCTTCCTTCCTTCCTTCCTTCCTTCCTTCCTTCCTTCCTTCCTTCCTTCCTTCCTTCCTTCCTCCCTTCCCTTCCCTTCCCTTCCCTTCCCTTCCCTTCCCTTCCTTTCCTTTCCTTCCCTCCTTCCCTCCCAAGCTATACCAGACTTATATACAGCTTCACAGTGCTTTCCAGCCCTCTAAGCAGTTTACAGAGTCAGCCTCTTGCCCCCAATGATCTGGGTCCTCATTTTACCCACCTCGGAAGGATGGAAGGCTGAGTCGATCTTGAGCCCGGTGAGATTCGAACTGCCAAATAGCAGGCAGCCGGCAGTCAGCAGGAGTAGCCTGCAGTACTGCACTCTGACCACTGCGCCACCGCGGCTCTTAAATAAACGACGATTTAAAATGAAACTGGAATAAAATACAGTGATTTAAGATGTAGATCAAATATGATAAAAATTATAGTTAGAGGTCACCTCTGCAATCCACCCCAATCAATCCCACCTATGCCGATCTCATCCGAACCGTTTTGTTCAAGTACTGTGCTGTGTTCAGTGTTATTTTCAGATTCTGGACGCACATAAGGTAAGTTGTTTTGATATGGGGATCCCAATGGATCACTCGTTTGGCATGTAGATCGAGGTACCCATCTCTCACCTCCTTATACAGATAACAATCAAATACACCTGTACATTGATTGATTGATTGATTATCCCTTTGTTGTTGTTGTTAGTTGCGAAGTCATGTCCGACCCATCGCGACTCCATGGACCATGTTCCTCCAGGCCTTCCTGTCCTCTACCATCCTCTGGAGTCCATTGAAGCTCACTCCGACTGCTTCGGTGACTCCATCCAGCCACCTCCTTCTCTCCTTCTTCTTTTGCCCTTGATCTTTCCCAGCATTAGGTTCTTCTCCAGTGAGTCCTTTCTTCTCATTAGGTGGCCAAAGTATTTGAGTCTCCTCTTCAGGATCTGGCCTTCTAAAGAGCAGTCGGGGTTGATCTCCTCTAGGACTGACCGGTTTGATCGCCTTGCAATCAAAGGGACTCACAGGAGTCTTCTCCAGCACCAGAGTTCAAAGGCCTCCATTCTTTGGTGCTCAGCCTTCCTTATGGTCCAACTTTCACAGCCGTACATTGCAACTGGGAAAACCATAGCATTTGATTATCCCTTGGGCCATATCAAAGTGCAGAGTTCCAGAAACAAATTATGACTAATCGTTGTTGTTGTTGTTGTGGAGAAATAGGAGGAGGAAGGAGGATCAAGTATGTCGCCTCCTTGAGTGATTTATAAAAATAATAATAATAAAAGGCAAGCTGTAAAATAATGACAGCAATGATCGTGGACCACTTGGGTCAAAGCTCATGTGAAACAGAAGTTGGGTTAGTTAGAAGTTAGGAGCCCTGGGTTGGAACTACGGTGCTGAAGCTGGGAGGGAGGAAGGCAATGGGTGTCTTTTTTTTCTTTCTGCGGTGACTTCACTTTCTTCAGGAAGCAAATATCACGTGCCCCAAACGGTGATACGTTTTTGCTCGACACACCCGAGAGCCAGTGTTGACACAGGCAAGCTTCAGCTTGCTGGTCTTGATGGGAAACATGAGTCCTTTTCCCAAGCTGGTGGAGAGAGAGAGAGAGAGAAAGAGCCAAGATCTCCATCGCTGAGACCAAGGGTCCTGGGAAGTGTGAAGTCTCCTCTGAACTTGAGATGCTGGAGACCTGCTAGAGTGCAGGTCTCCAACATTGGGCACTTGAAGACTTGTGGACTTCAACTCCCAGGATTCCTCAGCCAAGGTTTCCAACCTTAGCAATTTTAAGACTGGTGGACTTCCAGAATTCCTCAGCCATGGTCTCCAAACTTGGCAACTTTAAGACTTGTGGACTTCAACTCCCAGGATTCCTCAGTCAGGGTCTCCAAACTTGGCAACTTTAAGACTTGTGGACTTCAACTCCCAGGATTCATCAGTCAGGGTCTCCAATCTTGGCAACTTTAAGACTTGTGGACTTCAACTCCCAGGATTCATCAGTCAGGGTCTCCAATCTTGGCATCTTTAAGACTGGTGGACTCCAACTCCCAGAATGCTTCAGCCAGGAATTCTGGGAGTTGAAGTCCACAAGTCTTAAAAGTTGCCAAGGATGGAGCCCCCTGCTCTAGCGGCTGAGAGAGGACCATATCTGGCTGCATCGGCTGTATTCCACTTGATGCTCTGTTAGATGGGCTGGAAATAACAGTTTTGAGACTTTTCTTACCTGGGTCACCCAAGCAGCTGGCCTCACCTGATCTGATAGCATCCGTCCTCTCCTTTTGGGTCCAGGTGGGACACAGCAAGGAGGGAAATGGGTGGGCGAAATAGGTCACTGCTAACCCCCTATTTTTGCTGCTGTTTTGACTCGTGATGAAAAGGAGGGGAGGGGTCTTTTGATGGTTGCCTTGAGTTGATCTCTGAGTATCCTTTTGAGCAAAAGAGGGTTAAGGTGGAATTGGGTCAGAGCAGCTCCCAACTCTCTTATGGTCTCATACTGAGTCTTAATACAAGATTTCCCTTCCTTCCTTCCTTCCTTCCTTCCTTCCTTCCTTCCTTCCTTCCTTCCTTCCTTCCTTCCTTCCTTCCTTCAATCCTTTCCCTTCCCTTCCTTTCCCCTTTTTTCCTTCCTTCCTTCTCTCTCTTCTCCCTCCTTCCCTCCTTCTCTACTCCTTTGCCTCCTTCCCTTCCATCCTTCCTTTCCCTTCCTTTCCCCTCTTCCTTCCTTCTCTCTCTTCTCCCTCTCTACCCCTCTGCCTCCTTCCCTTCCTTCCTCCCTCCCTCCCTCTACCTTCCTGTCACTCTACTTCCTTCCCTCTTATCCTTCCTTCCTTCTTCTCTACCCCGCCACTTCTTTCCTTCTTAGTCCTTCCTTCCTCTCATTTTTCTTTTCCTTTCCTCCCCTCCCCCCCCCCTCTGTTCTGCCCTCGCTCCCTCCCAAAGAAGGAGAAGTTTAAGCTTGGACGTTGCCCTCGTTCTATAAGTCACTCAACACTTTTCAACTTCCGCTGAGCTGGTAACAAAACTCCAGAACCTTTCTAAATAGGGTGTACAAGAGCCCCTCTGATTTTTCTCCTTCCCCTGAACCCTTCATTATTTCTTCTTCTTCTTCTTCTTCTTCTTCTTCTTCTTCTTCTTCTTCTTCTTCTTCTTCTTCTTCTTCTTCTTCTTCTTCTTCTTCTTCTTCTTCTTCTTCTTCTTCTTCTTTCCATTCCCTTTTAGTTCCTTGGCTGCATTGAGTTGGGATTTAGCACTCTAGCCCCCCCTCTGCCCCCCCCCCCTGCAAGGGGGAAGCCGGTGCCAAACAGAGCCTCTATATTCCAAGGCACTCTACCTTAGCGCACCGGTCCTTTTTTGTGTATGTCTGTGCAAACTGGGGGTGTGTGGAATGGGAGACCACCCACCCCTGTTGGTCCAAGAGGCTTGTTTCTCGAGCCTGCCACGACCCCGGGCATCTCTCCGGCAAAAGCTTTTGCAAGGCTCGTTTTGAGGAATGCCAACCATCCTGTGGCGAGAAGGTGGAGGAGAGAGAGAGAGAGAAAAGAAAAGAAAAGAAAAGTTCAGTTTTTTCTCCGGTGTCCTCCCCCTCCTGGTGGTGCTGGGAAGCTGTTCTCATGAGATCAGCTTTCCTCTCCTTCCCTGTCCCCCCCCTCTCCTTCCCCATCCCATCCCATCCACCCCTTTTGGCACCATTCGCTTACCTAATTTGGTGCGCCCTCGCCCTGCGTCTTCCTGATTGGTCCCCGGGAAAGTTTTCCAGCAAAGATCTTTTCCTTTTTGGAAAGCAGAGACCGCGCCTCCCTCTTTCCCCTCTTGGCAGACATTTCCCAATTGTTATTGTTATTATTATTATTATTATTTCTTTTTTTTTTCTTCCTCGTTTGTTTGTTTGGCTTAAGCTAAGCGGCAGCATTTGCCAGAATACGATAGAATCAAATCAAATCAAACTTGGTTAGGCCATCCCTGCTCTGTTTCTCATCATTGGGCTCTTGCAAATCTTTTCTTCCCCCCCGTAACTTTCTTTTGGAAAATGCTGGGAAGTTTTCTTCCTCTTTGTCTTGTTTTTCCTAAAGACGATCCTCCTCCTCGCCTTGGTTTCTGAAGAAACACCGTTTAAATTAGTTCCCTTCGAGGAAAGCAGATCCATCTGCGCCACGACGAAATGGTGTACAAAAGTTTTTGCAATTCTCTTTTGAGGTTTTGTCCCAAGGAATTTTTTTTTTTTAATCCAAGCTGGGACTGGAGAACTATCAATCTATCTAATGGAGATGATGGATAGATATGTAATGCTTTTTTTAAATAGGAGAATTGTTGTATTAGGGGTTAGAAATAAGAGGTGGAAAGTAGAAATTGGGATAATATTACGATGCATTACACTGCCTCAAAATATAATACATTATAACTACAATGTATATGTAAATCTCAGAAGTTGAAAGATTATTATGATGTATATCTAAACGGAGTATATTGTATTATT